TGCCCGAACTTCTTAAATGACCGCATATATGTAGTAACTTAACTTAAACGGAACCTAGAACTTAGAAAAACAAAATGAAACAGATTTCGACGGGCATTATGTTACGTTAGGTTTCGGCTGTTCAATTATAAACAACATCCATTTACGAGAATTTTAAATGAGAGCCTGTAAGTTACCTTAAGTTTCCATAATCCGACCATAAGCCTGGTTACTTAATTTAGAAGAAACATCCTGAAATTCTCAACGTATGCATACAAAGTATTTTCGCATGACTCCTAGAACTTAATTTATTAAAATAAATAGCTTCAAACTTTTTTCACTGTTCTAAATAAGTATGTATCTACTCGTATGTACCATATATTAGAACGCACCAGAAATATAGCATTTACATATGTAAATACATACATATCGCGTAAGAGCGCTGTTAGATATACTAGGGCTGTTCAGGATCTTGCATTTGCATATTTCGGCGCATTTCATTTGTACATGCACAACTATAAAATTCAAATGATTGGCATTAGTTGTGTTCGCGTAGCTGTTAATTGTTCATGTTTAACCAAAACTTACAAAGTAGGGGAAATTGAGAGAGCAAAGTGACATTTCATTTTGAGGGGAAGCTGCTGGTTTCTGTTGGAAAAATTTTTGCCAACAGCAATTTGCCAACAGGAAAACAGCTGATCAAAAACAGCTGGTTGGCAATCACGCAAATCACAAAATTGAATTTGATGGTTTGGAAATTAAAAATTACAAAATGCGACTAATTAAACTTGTAAGAAATAAGTAGTTATTTGTTTAATCAATAAACTGTGTCAGTATAACACTTTGCAATGACTTTTCGTACGTTTTAAATTTTACACTTTTGAATGTAAACAAAAATTATATCAGCTGTTCGTCTAACTTGCAAGTTTCTGCAAATTTTCTGTTCGCGTACTATTTGGGATATTTTTCTCTTGTGAGAGAACAGATGACATTTTGCCGGAATTTGGCAGTTGGTTGGTTTTTACTGGAGATTTTAAAGGAACGCACCTATTGTAGCAAGCATAAAGTTAGCAAATGCAAATATAAATGCAAATCCAAGACCATTTGCCCAATACCCTGAACCTAATCATTAAAAATAAATTTCTTTCAGAAAAGAGGTGCGAAAAGATTCTGCTGAAATAAAAAAAAAAATCCAGAAAATGTTTGAGAATTTCTAATTTCTTTCACAAAACGTCCTTATATTTTCAATATTTTTGACAATTGTCCTGATAAAACTAAATATATTCATCCTGAATCCATATTTAAGCCCTAAATTGCTTAAAAAAAAAACCTGAGACAAAAATTGTTTAGTCCACGAAGCCGCTCGAAAATAGTTTTTACGAATAGGTTGAGAATTTCAAGATGATACGATTGGAACCAGGTCACTTACAAAGTATGTATACAAAACGTGAGTATTTCTTTAAGGTGAAAGCTGTGGAAACCCAAAAATAACCGCGTCCTCCCTTTCCCAGGAAATTGAAATACAAATGGATTGGTCTAAATCATTTGACATTACAAATCGGACGTACATTTTTTTGATCACATATGCTGCAGTAAGTGCGCTTTGGATAGTGACGTCGCTGCTTGTTTTGGGTGAGCTTTATTTATGCTTTAATACATACTTATATGCAGGTCCGTATTAATATGTGCGTTATTTCAATATGTTTTTCTTCTGTTATTATAAAAGTTTATAAAAGCATTTGGTATTGAAATGAGTTTATATCCAGGATTTAATCGGCAAAAATTATAAAACCAACTTTTTAAAAAAAGAAAAACACAATCAAATAACTAAATAACACTACCTTTTTGGCCGATACTAGCTCCGGCATCGGCCGATTAATCGGTCGGACTCTAGTTACATACCAGTATAAAGTAGATTTTTGATCAATTTAAGTTTTGAAAATAGCCTCCCTCATACATAATTATTTACTTTAAATGAATTACAATTGTAAGTTAACTTACAGTTTTTGAAGTGAAACTTCTTTGCCTTCGGTTAGAAGTAAATGTGGCTCTAATCCCAATCAAAAAAGGGACGGAAAGTATGCGCTGCCCCCTACCTTTTGTCCCTTTTTTGTCACGATTAGGTTTAAGATTAAGGTTGAGATTTAGATTAAAATAACTGTTCATTACTATGCAGAAAAATACTCATATAATAATATAATACACGAAGGCATTTTTTGTGAACGTCATCAGATCTGCACCGTACGCTCGATTTTCAAAACTGAAAGGTCAAATTGAAGTGGTTAGCCTGTAGATGTGAAACAACGTGTTATTTTTCTTTTAAGCTAGAGCCAAGGCATATCAAACAGGTAGTAGTATTAGAGCAAAAACAACATTTGCGTGTATTTTGTTATTGCTTCTGGTATCGAAGTGTCAAAAATTGTTCTGATTTTTTCTTCTAAATCAAAGCGCGCCACGTGAAACACGAATAAGAAATTCAAAATGGAAAAAATTAAAATTGTTGCAACTTTCTATCGTAGTAAAGTTGTTTGCTTCTCGAAGCTTCTCGATTTTAACAATTTGGAATTTTTGTGAGAAGTAATTGAAAATATTTGACATTATCGAGACCAAATAATTTCAAAAAAAAAATCAAATCTAGCTGCTATACTGATACTACTTGTTCAATGTGCCTTGGCTAGAGTTTTTTTTTTATCTGTACAGAGTGATTTGAAATTAGAGAAACCGAACAAAGGGAGACCACTCTCCACTCAGAAACGGGTGAACGTATTTAGATGAAACTCGAATCGCTTATTTGGAATATTTCTAGGGCTTTAAACATGGTTGCCAGATCTTTAAAATGTTAAATTCAATTTCGGCGTACGAGTAATAGAGGAAGAAGTTTCACTTCAGTGGCGCGTGGGAACCACACACTATTTTTTGTCTAATAGAGTCTCTGGGATGGAAACCGATGCCGTGAAAAAGCTTCTCATAAAAGCCATTTGGCGTTCGAAAGCGGGGTAAAACTGTGGGTCCCTCCATTTGTGTTATAACATTAGGATGCACACCCCAAATTGGAGGAAAAGCTCGGCACTTAAAAAAATTGTAAGCGCCAAGTTATTGTTATTTATATTATTTATTATTATGTTATTATAGTATTATTATTTATTATTATTATATCTATTATTACGCTACCACTTAATAGATTAAAGAATAGAAAGTTATATAACGTAAGGCTTCTAAATTAAAATTTCTGCATTTTTGTTAATAAAGAAAAAAATTAAATTAATTAAATTAAAAAAATGTTTAACTTCGAAATACAAATTTTTAAAACCAAAAAGAAATATTTTATTTGAGATTTCACATGTGGATCTAATCATGCACAAGATCCTATTTTGTCATTTCAAGAGTGTACGAACTAAGAGTGGTGTTTAGGCGACTAATAACACCTAGTGCCTAAAGGTATGCAACCGGATATTAAAGGACGTTTGTATATACAAGCAGGTACAAAGCTGTATGTGCAAACATTTTGTATTACAAATTGTTTATGCATATGCACTTCTCAATTGCCGCAGAACAAAGCCTACTAAAGTAGTTAATTGCTGGCACCCCCAAATCATGCTCAACTTGCTTGACGCATCAATCCTCAATGCTCAACACTCCCCCCTTGATGCATCACAACTCCTCCGGAGTTGTCTCGCGGGGCAGAGGTGGTACAAGAGTTAACTATGGGTGTCAGCGCCTACCCAAATTTTTGAACATATGTATGTACATAAATACATAACCGGTGCTCAACAATCTCGCTTTATGCGTCGCCAAAAACTCCTCCGGAGTTTTCTAAACCACATCGCTATAAGTCGCAGGGACTCTGCATGACTTACAACCATGCAGAGGTGGTAACTAATGGTTATCATTGGTCCCAGCGCCTACCCAAAACAATTTTGATTGAATAAATTTTTGTGTAAGCAAATTCATCCTGGTCCTGCCCTCCCACTGAATTAATCAAGTGGTTAGGGTAATACATAATTTCGTACATATGTACATACATACAGACACTAGAAAATGCTTAGCACCGTCAGCCAAAAAAGCTATTAAAAATGAACGCGATTTCTTGGCATCTTGAAATTTTCACTTTTACCTACTTTAAATTAATGGACTACAAAACTGCATACCTAAAAAAGTTTTAAATTTTTTGGTGTAATTGTTAAAGTTTGTTGAATTTTCATAATTTTTGTAAGAAGTTTGAAATGTGGATTTATGTGGTTTTGATTAGGTAATGTGCTAGGCTTTTATAAGAGACAAAAAAACTGTAAACATTAGATTAAAAAAATAAGAAAACAAAACGGGCCAAAATGAAACTTAACTTAATCAGCTGACCACAAGGGTATATAGATAATGGACGAGTCCGCGCATGCCCCCCTCCTCCCCTGCGTCCACCTCAACTAACAAATAAAGTTTATCAGCACTGTAAACCTACCTCTGACAACTGTCCCACACATAGCTGTCACGGGTGGGACATGCTTCTCTCTTGAATTATTCTTATCTAACTAGGTGGAAACGACAATGCAATTGTGGTAAATATTTGCAATGAATTTCTTACATTATGTAACAAACACGAAACACAACCTCAACTTATGTAATTAAATATAACCACTTTTACCATTTTTTTTGTCACACAATTTAATATATAACACAATTTTATTAAAGGCAGATGAGTTCAATTATTTTATTATTTTTTTTTACCAAAAACTTGAATTAAGAATCGCAAATTTTTTGACAGTGCATTCAACATAACCTACTTCAAACTCAATCAAAAAATTTACTTTGAACTTGATTTCAAAACGTAAAAAAAGGTAATAAAAGTGCATTTAAAGCTTTTTGTGTTATTTGCTGGTTGATTCAAGATCTTTACAATTGTCTTATCCACACGCTTGTTAGTTTTATAAAGAAAATATGTAATTTTTGCACTGAGGTTCACTTTCTCATGGAACCTGCCAAATCTATTTATTATACAAACAAATATTATTATACAAACAAATATTGAACGATATACATACATACATATGTAGCTTCGGTGTGTGGACCAGTTACCAAGTTGGTGGCGGCGATTTCATTTTGGCCATGGTTTTCGATTGTAATCGGAGGATGTATTCTTGATGGCGTAGCAACTGGTTATCACATATACGACCTTATACACACAACGGTAAGTAGTATTTTCGAATTGAACAAAATTATAAGTATTATTTCATGTACATATGTATGTATGTATGTAATAAATACCCAACGGGACTGAAAGTTAGCTGCTCCCCCCAAAGGAGCAAGTACGAAGCAGTACAAAAGCAAAGGCAAAAACAGATTTTTAAATTTCTATCAATGCTCAGAAATAAATATCATTTTGAGTAGTAAGATAAAATATTTTCTTTTGAAAAAAAGTTAATTTATCTGCAAACATGTGTGTATGTATGTATTTTCGTATGTATATCACATAGAAAAGAAAAAAAGATGTTTATAAGTACACTTAATAAAACCATCAAATGGTTTACAAAAACGCCATTATTTTATTAAAACAAAAAGATAATATAAAAATTAAATTTTGCATGCATCGCTTTTTAAATGCGCGTAAAAATTTAGGAAATCGCCATTGGCGATTTTTGGCGATTTTTTCCCCTTAATAAATAAATTTTTCCGAATTATAAAAATATACAAAACTTAGTTTTCCACGATAATTTTACAGAAGAGGCTAATGAACTGCTTGATAAACTTGACTTAACAATCATTAAAAGACTGTCAAAAAATTTTGATCACCCTAATCGAAGAACTTTTGAAACGATTACCTAGTCAATTAAATACTTTTAAAAAAGCTTTGATTTTGTCACCAGAAAAGTTCGTGAATCACAAGATGGCGAGTTTCAGGGACCTGCCAATTCACTATTTGACTTTGAAGTAAAGGAAAGCAGCGGAAACTGGATATTGAAATCTTTTAACTTTCCCACGGAATAACTTTTCTCAGAACCATTCCATCCGACTCTGCAGAATTTTGGATAATTGCTTACGGAGTGAAAACCGCAACAGGCAATAAAATGTTTGGAAATTTAAGTAAATTCATTTTATTATACTTGCCGCACTCACATGCTTTGCTGACAAAGCACAACAAAAACTAAGATTCGGAATAGGATGAGGTTGGAAAGCCTTAATTCAATAGTTCGAATAAAGTGTTATATGAAGGAATAATAGTTTCTGCTGCAAAACGTTTCCAATATCAAACAGTGTGTTATCAAGGTTGAGTAGCTTAATATATGACAACAACAGAAATGTAAATCATTCAGACACTATAGGTGATTTTAAAGAAATTGTGGAAATAGCTGATCTCGCCTTATTATAGGTTGTTATTTAATTTTTAGCGCCGAGCTCTTAAAAGCGGATTGTGCGATTAATCAATTAATATGAGTTATAATAAATTTAATAATTGCGCAGTCCTATTGCAAAATGTGTTGAAACAAATATTTTTAAAAAGTATGCGTATTTTTAAAGAAAATTGTTTGTACATCACTATTATATAAGTGATTTGTGTTATTTATTACTAACCCTTAATTAGGCGCATAAAGAAAATCACACAAATAAAAGTGTTGAAAAAAAGAGTTTTCAAAATAAAAAAAGTGGAAAGGGAAAGGAAGTGTATATTAACAAAAATATTAAAGTACTCTATTATCGTTAACTTAAAAACAAAAACATAATTTCGACTTCAAACTTAAAAAAAAAATTTAAAACTTACTTCCGCAAAAAAAAGTTACGTTAAGACTGGTTTTCACTATGTCATATTTTGACACCAAAATTTGGCGACATATTTTGACACAACTTTATCTCCTTTATCCATACCTTTGACGATGATATTATGGACCAAAAACTGCCAGATAGCCGATTTCGAAGCGCATGTACACGACTAAAGGACCTATAAAATAAAATTTGGCTCAGAACGAGAGAGTTACAGTGGAAAGTACGGAATCGCTTTCTAGTAAAAAGTTGTAACTTCTGACAGCTTCAGCATAGCCTCCAAATTTTGCTTGTAAACTTTTGCTTATTTTGCAAGTAACAATCAGCCACTCAGTAAAACAAAACTTCAACTAAATCACTAACGATCAATATTTATAAACACTACAATGTGTAATATCTATGAAAAATCTCAAAATGAGTTCCGGGCCTGCGCATTAAAAAAAAATAAATAAAATTGGTCTTTTCACAAATTAAGTTTTATTTTAGATAAGAAAAAATTATTTTGGCAAATTTTCTACAATGCAGGCTGCCATCCGACCTAGCAGATCAGTCTTAAGAAAAGGTCAGAAAAACATTATCGGTGTCCAGATGAATTTTCCTCCGCCGGCCCATCTTCGAATAGAAGGCAATCTGTTCAAGCGTTGCCTTGCTCAACTTTAGAAGTAGTAAAAGCTACTAATTTCAAGAATGGACTGCCTAGGATGACTCAGAAAGATTTTACGTCAATATGAGTTTGTCTGAGCTGGATACACTATGGTTTCTTCTACACTTTATCTTAGAATTACATATCTGTAGAATACAAAAATACCATACGATTTACATAGTAAAAAAGAATCGACCCACCCTTGTGTGAACAAATCCAATTTTTGGCAAAAAAATTTCAGGTACGCAGTTTTCAGAACGACGATTCGCGGTTTTGTACTTTAAACGACGATATACATATTTATATTTACGAGTACTATGTAGGTAGATACAGTACATACATATAAAATAATTATTGCATTTTTACTTTAGACGGTAGAAGATACCATTTACATATATTGGAGCGATACAACGAACGATGATTTGATGGCTATCTTAGAAAACTTCGATGCCTATTTCGTGACACCCGCTATTGTGATGACTTGCTTGAGCTCTCGTTTGGTGCTTATATGGCTGCTTAACATNTTCGGACGGGATTTTGCCTNTCATTATCCCATGTTCTGGCCAAAAATGTAAAAAAAAAATAGCAATCGTAAGGACTGAAGTTGACTTAATTTTTTTTTTTATAGAACTCCGTATCAATGACAGCCGAGTGTGTCTCAGAAGTTTCTGGAGAACGTCGTAATTCTGGCGCCGCAAATTTTGGAAATACTGGAGTGCACAATAATTCACGGCTGCCTGTAGAACTATCTAAGCAAGCCCACCCACAGGCACTACCAAACGAAGTGCTTCGTAGTTTAAATACTTCACCAGAGTATTCAACGTCCCCTGCGCCTGTTATAGTTCGCCGACTTTCAACTGGTTCGACGACAAATGACGTTGGACAAGAGAAGCCAAGTCAGAGCAATATAACTTATCGCAATACGGACACTCATCCGGATCGTCTTGACTACCCTGGCACGAAATCGGGCCCTGTTTCCCCCATTTCACCGCCAGGCGAAATACAACAACTTTCAATAGAGACACCGTTAAATAGTCGGTATACAAACGCTGATCTTTCGCAGTTATCAAATCACCGTGTAACCGCGGAGCTACGGAGCCAGCTCCCATGGTCATATACGAACATGCTGGGAAACCCGCAAGTCCCACCCAAGCCCCAAAAGCCACAGTATCCGGAGATTCCAGTGCCGGACTATACAACATAAAAAATTATGTTTTAATATAAATTTCTAACTCTTGTAAATAAAAAAAATTAAAAGTCATTATATGTACATAAATAAAGTCCATATATGGGCAAATCTAAAAAATAGGTACACTCTTCAAAAAAAAAAAAAAATTGTATTTTTAAATTTGTGAACACACCTATGTTTTATATATCATTTTATTCGTATTCTCTTCATAAATCGATTAGTATAAGTGTAATTTATTTTCATCAAGTGCTTCAAAAGTTAGACGAGGAATAAACAAGAAATAGAAAACAAAAAAATAAGCTGGGTTCAAATTACGTTGCTCATGCCGTAAATTTTGAGCAAAGATTTTGAAAGTTTAACTCAATTAATTGGAAGGTTCTAAATTCAATGGCATTTGCAAATTTTATTCTTGCTGCCATGGCAACCGCACACGGTTTATTGTCGTGACCTTAGAAATGCAACGAATATGCAAATGCAAGAGCATATGCAAAAGATCCTGAACAGCCCTAATAATTATATGAATCTTTTTTCCAAGATTTTAACAATTAAACAAATTTGGAGAGACTCCCACCAACTATTGGTACCAGGGACTCAAAATTCTAAATCCGGCCCTGGCTAAGTTATGCATGTGTACCTACATTAGGCCTGGGTAACGGCGCAAATTTTTTGGCGCTGACACCCTAACTCCAGCGCCACTGTCGGAATCAGCACAGTGTGTTGGCTCATTTCCTTTATTGCTGCACGCTGCACCAAAGTGAATTAATACAAGGTGATATCGGTTGAGAAAAAAATTAAATATACCCAAGTTCAAAACCCAAAAATACAACAAACCCATCATTTTCACATTCAGAAGGACCGCGACGAATTCTAGCAACACCACCTTGTATAAATTCGCCGCAACCGGAACATTTACGTTGTGAAAATATGGCAGGTATCCTACTTATCCACAAGTTGGATGGATCTACCGTTAGTAAAGCTTAAAGATAAGGCTTGGAAGATCTACGCAAGGCTAAGAAGCCGTAACAGCAAGAAAAAAACCGACTTGGACAAAAGTCCACGATCGATGAATTAATGTGGATAACTTTTGAGTATTTGTAAACACTTTCTTATATAACATTTAAAATACATATCTTTGATATTGTTAGAAGTTTAAGAAGGGTTCAAATTATTAAAAATTGTATATATAATTTAATTCATTAACAAATCCCAAGCAGCGTCCTCTTCTGTGCCTTTTCCATTTGTGGCGCTCTTGTTTGGCACACTTTTAACGTCAAGACTATTGAAACCTTCGCACAATTTTCGAGAAGTAGTTTGAAGCTTCATATTTTTACGTCCGGAAGTTGTGCTCAATTCATCACCGCGACCTTTCGTTTGTTGATAAGAAGTTTGATATCCGGTTGAGTCGAAGCCTGACCAGTCATTATCGTTCGATTCACTTAGTTGGTTGTGGTATGAATTCGACTGAGTAATAGTTTGCTTTGGCGCACTATTTTCCCAATCCCAGTCACCGCCACCTACAATTATGGTTAAATGACATTATTGGAAAGGTAATACATATACATACGTATGTGTGTTTGTACATACATATGTACACTGGTGGTCTCATAATTAGGCATAATACTTTGCGAGTTTTTTTTTACAAGAATACAGTTTAAAACCTTGTACAAAATGTATAAAAATTCGCCGAATTTCAAAAAATTGTAACCAAAACTTCAAAGTAAAAAATCTATCTGTATATATAAAAGTGAATGTCTGTTTGTCTATTACCTTATAACTTCTGAACCGCTGCACGGTATCGCACGAAACTTTGCAGTTATTTGTTTTTACCTCGGGAAGGTCATAGAAGGCATAGAGAAAAATGGGCAGTACTAACTAAAATTTTCATGTTGTATATCTCTTGAAATACTTGTGGTAGAGCATTGGAACATGCTGTCGAGATAAATTAAATTAATTCTATACTCTTGGGGAAAAAATAGGCGGTATTGGAAAAGGGGGCGTGGCACCTTCCATAGGCGTGAATTATTTAATCAGCTCTAACTTCGGAACCTTAAGTCACATGAACTGGAAATTTGGTATGAAAATATATCTATGGTAGATGCTTATCTTAAGGTATATATAAATAAGTTTGAAAAAGGGGGCGTATCACTTAACATAGGCTTGGATCTTTTTATCAGCCATAACTTCGGAACCACAAGTCACATGACCCCTTTAATTCCTTCTGACGTGGGGTAAAAGCTAGTAAATAAATAAAACATAAATGCTCAAAAATTCGTAAAGTCGTTACGTGGCCACAATGTATATATGTATATATGTATGTGCAAGCCATTAATATTTACAACCAATGGAATGTGATCGTTGGTAGGAATTATCATTTGCACTATTGTTGTTTCCAACTGCATTAAAGTGATTAGGTGCAACGTTACTCCCTCCAATGTTGTTCCAACCTTTTTTTCCAATATCTGTCACCTGAAAACATGAAAAAAAAATAAAAATTATATTGAAAATGCAACTACACAATTCCGGAATTCACACCTAAATTAAACACAAACCTTGTAAGCTACATCGGAAACGTGACCTTGGACGGTTTCTAGCAAACCGCCTTCTTTGATCTAGAAAATTATTGCAAAAAATAAAAATAAACTACACAACATTGTAATCAAACCCAATTCAATTTCAAAATTACTGAAACGAAAGAATGATTCAACAAACTAGCGTAGATATCACAAAAGCAAGCGCGACAAAGGAATACTATCGTAAAAATTAAGTATAAAAATACCAGAACAGACCTTTGACGAAGCCAAGTTTACAGTCGTTACAGCTTTCTCCTTTGCGGTGCTGGCAATTTTGGATGCCCCTGCCGAAAGTAAACTCCAACCCTATGCAATAAGAATAAATTTACCAATTTCATACGCTAGTTTTAATTAACCCTTATCCTACCGATGCCAATGATGAAAGCGTAGTGTCTATAATTTCCTGGGATTGAGTTTTCGTTGGTGGATCGCAAGAATACCCGAAACCAGAATACTTTCCACCTTGGCTTGGAGGCAAGTTGCTGGAATTGAAATTAATAATGAATGTAAATATGAGCCATTCTTTTGCAAGTCGGAAGGATTTCGCAAAAAAAAATGTTCATGTCTCCGAACCGCTTAAATTTTTTTTGTGAGTTCTATACATGAAATAAGCTAACACGTGTTCGAGGATTTTTTTTTTTCTTTGGAGATATATGTCGAAGTATGAATTTTTTCGTGATTCTGACTAGTCATGTACTTCTTCAAATCGTTATATCTCGGGTTCTGCTCATCGCAGAGACTTCATCTTAACGTCATTTTAAATCTGAAGAAACGGGTTTAACATTTCTACATATAAGATGGTCAAGATGAACTTTGATTTGCATAGTGTAGTAAATTAGGGATTTACAATTATACCATCGTAATCCTTGTTTAACTCTCTATAAAAAACGTGGTTCAACAAAATGGGTATTTTTCAAGAACTATTTTAAAAATATTTTTGTTTATGACGAAATGGTTTATTTTGTGAGAATCAACAATTTTTTGTAATTTGTTTTCAAAAACGTATTATCTCCGAAGAAAAAAAGGAGAAAAAATAACTCGAACACGTTTTAGCTTTTTTCAAGTATAGAACCCATAAAAAAATTAGAAGCCAATCGAAAGTGTGACACCAAAATTGGTGTCCGATATGAAAAAGAATGTCTGATATATGTATGCATGTATTTGTAAGTACCCCGCAAACCATTTTTTCAGAGTATTCTGAATTATTGAGAACGTTTAAAGGATTCGTAAAGATCTCATCCGATGTTTTGCAGAATTTAATAAAACAAAATAAACCACACTTCGATTCTTTTACGAAATTTCGGAAGAAAATCGGTAAAGTAAATAAAATTATAGTTCAAAAAACTAAAACCTCCCTATTATAATTGCCATTCGTACTGTCATCAGGTATGTACCTGGAGAATAGAAATCGCTGCATCTTTTAGGCGCATCAATATTACATAGTTCCATCCCGAGCTAATAAAAGGAAGGTAAAAAAATAATGCTGCTATGTGAAGAATTTCTTGCAGAAGTTTTTCAGAATTTTCTATATTTTCCGTACAGAAATTCCTTTACGAGTTCGTGTCAACCACTTCATATAATTCTCTTTGAAAATTCGAAAAAAATCGTTACAGAAATGAGATATTCCTAAAGATTTCGTTAATATTTCGGGAACTTTGGTTCGCAGGGTAAATACAAAATGTATAGTATGTGTGTGCATGTGTACATATTGGTGCCGATAAATATTAACAGTGAAAGTTGGGAGTATACTTTACAAGAAAGCTATATAGATTTTGGCGATATTTGCGGGAATATTATTGAATTATGTCTTTCACATTGATTTTTGAATCGCATTTAAACGTCTTCACCAACATTCGCAAGCGTTAGAATTAAGTAACCTGTTATTCTTTTTTGGCACATGTGTAAATATATTCGCTTCAATATAATATTTACTTTTTTATTTAAATTACAAGGAATATTTAAAAGAATTTTATAATGGAAGCGGGTTTCTGACATAAATATAATAAGGGGATTCACCCTTGTATGGGGTACGGATTGCACAGCTTTAAGATAGGAAAACCGGTATTTACTTGCAATCCGTGAACCATGCAAAAATTTGCAAGACTTAATCCCCCTTCTCAGTCCCAAAACTTAAGCGGTTATTGCTATTGAACAAATACATATCGACCCCTAACCACCAAAAATATGTAAGCGACATTTTTTTCACAATTTTCTTTTTGATGCAGAAATGTTCATAGCATTTGCATCAAAAATAAAATTTTGAAAAAAATTTCGCATGTGATTTGCAGAATCTGCATGTACATACATATATACTATATCTGTCTTTAGCAGTAAAACCTACTCAGGCCGTGATGCGTTCTCAATTTTTCGCCGCTCGAAAAACTCTTCTTTTTGCTCCTTGAACGCTTGCGTATTAAATTGCTGATAACTGTTTGTATTACATCCAGCTCCCATATTTGCATCTGTCTGATAACCACCGTCAGAACTATGAGACAAACTGCTTTTAGAATGGGACATATATCGAGCATTTTTATCATCTAAGCTTCCACCGCCGAGGCCAGTGGGAACAGAAATACGTTGTTGTGCTTCCGAAAAGTCCCATGATTTGCCCTGAGCCAAAGAAGATATTTTGTCCCGGTACAAGGCAGCAGCATTAGAATTGTAACGTTGAACAATGGGTGCACGATCATCCCAATCAGGTTGATCCTCTAGAAACTCTCGAGCCTTGCTATTTCCGCCAACTTTCATTTTTTCCAATTCAATATCCTTCCACTTATCCATAGTGACAGAACGCACAAACGATATGTGCACGCCTAGGCCTCGATGTTTGCCTGAGCATTCCAAACATATCCATATACCATACGTCACTGAAACCCACTGGGGATTATGGGTACCGCACTCAAAGCATTTCTACATATAAAAATAATTAGTGATACTAATTTGGCCATTTATATAAAGTTCACCAGTGAACCGGAAACGAACCGAATTTTCGTCTTGTGGTTTTAACTCTTGAAGANTATGTGTACCGCACTCAAAGCATTTCTACATATAAAAATAATTAGTGATAGTAATTTGGCCATTTATAGTGAACCGGAAACGAACCGAATTTTCGTCTAGTGGTTTTAACTCTTGAAGGACGCGACGTGTACGTGGGCTAGCCATTATGAAAATTTCTTTAAATTCATTTGAATAACATATGCACGATGTAAAATCTTAACTCAACATGTTTTACCAGTAAACTTTTTATTGTCAAGTATGAAAAGAACAAAAAGTAATTTGTTGACGTGTGACATTCAGTGTGCTTGCCTTCATAATTTATCCCCTTTATAAATTACCCCTTTTCGACAGCAAATTTTCCAAATATTTTTGCCAAGGCGAATTTATACAAGGTGTTTAATATCAAAATGATGTGTTTGTTATAAACACGGCGAATTCATATTACAACAAACACACTATTTTGACATTAGCCGTCATCGATTCGCCAACAGTTAGCGAGTGGGGAAACGAAAATAAACGAAATACAAATCAGCTGTTCGTAAGTTCGTAGTGGAGGAAAATATGTTTAATACAATTTTAATATCGGGTCCCCCAGGTAAACATATGCAATAAAAGTAGTACATATGTATATGTATTATTACATACTAACAATTTAAAGGTGTGGGCAAAACTACGTTGGTTCGAAATATATGCAAGGAGCTAGCAGTGTCTTACAATTGTTTTGGTTTTATTACTGAGGAAGTACGTTGTGACCAGACCTCTGCTCGCATCGGATTTGATGTTGTAACGTTTCTTGGCAAACGCTCTATCTTAGCAAGGTTTGCATATTGATCATGGAAGGAAACGTCATAATATATAATTTTTTTTCAGAGAGCGGTCTGTAAATACAGAGCGAATGCCAAAAGTAGGAAAATACTCGGTTTACATTAATGAATTTGAAGACTTAGTACTTCCATTACTTGATTACCCTAATTCGAAACAGGATCTATTAGTTATAGACGAAATTGGAAAAATGGAACTAAAGAGTGAAAGATTTGAGAGAGCTTTAATTAAATTAATTGGTAAAGTTCCAATTTTGGCGACAATACCATGTCAATCGAACGAACATCTTAAACTTGTTGAATGTCTAAAAAATTCTTCCACATCCCGTATATTCGTAATAAACAAAAGCAATCGTTCTGTTATTCAGCATGATATTGTAAAACATATTAAACAAATGTTAAGAAATTAGACAAAAAAGCCGAACATTTAACTTTAACACGGTGTACAATTTAGAATAACGTAGTATTGTACATATGTACATTAGGGTGGTCCAAAAACAGTAAAGTCGGAATTGCAATGCTCTCACCCCCTAGGATGGTTCTATATCGAAAAAAGTATACCCCTATTTTATATTTTGAAATCAAAAAATATATAGAGATCGCTCAAACCACTCAAAGTTTTCCGCGTATTTTTATATGGGAAAAATAAATTTTTTCGTAGAAATGGTAGAGTTCTTGAAAGTCAATATTTTTCGATCGGAAAACTCGGGTTCTCTTCAGGAGACTTTCAATAATAATACCCAATTGTTTATATAACTTATTTTTTAATACTAACGATTTTTTATTGGTCGCCCCATTGAATTTTTCGGGGTTTTTGTGGGTTTTTGGTGGACCTATAAATTATGGTTGCAATGAAAAAATGCTTAAATAAACAATTGGGTATTATCATTGAAAATCTCCTGCAGATAAATGGAGTTTTCTGGCAGAAAAATATTGATATTTAACTATTCTATACCATTTCTACGAAAAGTTTTTTCCCCATATAAAATACATGGCAAACTTTGGGCGCTTTGAGCGACCTCTAAATATTTTTTGATTTTAAAATAAGAAAATAAGGGTATTTTTTCGGTATAGAATAATCCTAGGGGGTGAGAGCATACAAATTCCGACTTCACTTTTCACATGCATTTTTGGACCACCCTAATGTACATAACAACAAATTATATCGTCGTTTAAAGTAGAAAAACCGCGTATCAAGAAAATGCAAAAAAAAAAAAAAGGGAGATTTTATAGGAGAGTATTTCAAAACGGTTATCTCTTTTATTCCTAATTATCTCTTCTTCTTATGTCTAAGTATCGATATTTTAGTATAAATGGAGAAGGGCTTGATGCCAATAGCTTTCGCTGAGCAAATATCTTTTTTGCCACAAATGTCAGTTACGAGGTTTTGCAGAACCACTATACTTGTACTTTAAACGACGATATTATTCCACTGTGTACAAATGTAGATTTATTAAAGTTCCTGAGATGATTGTGAAGTCTGTGGTTTGGGTTCACGAATTGAACGTTTTCTGGAGCGCTTAGGTGATTTTTCAAAATCCATTTCATTGTAAGTCTGTTCGGTTGCTCTCCACACCATCTCCTGTCGCTGTACGAGTTCGGGATATCGTTGTTCAAAATCTTTATTAGGCGAGAGGAGCAACTCCCATTTCTTTTCAGAATTCAATCGAGCAACGGAATGAAGAACCTCTGCAGCTTCATCAGGCGGTAGTTGTGTAGCTGAAATTACTTGACGACGGTATAGGTACTTCACACGAGAAAATCTAAAAAGCTTTTCAAACAACAGGAACACAAATTTTAAACCAAGGAGGATTCAATATTTTATGTAAATTACCACATAATCTCGGGCGCGTATCATCAGTTCAGCAGACACACCATTTGAGTTGGACAGTGTATCAGCGGGGTATATTATATCCGATTGCGGCACCCAATTACCATGGATTAATACGCCGACTTGAGGTAAAGCTCGCAGTACCTTTTCACTTGACACAGTATAATCACTGGAATCTTGAAGTATGGAACATAGGTCCTCGAAGCTCATCATTCGTACTGTTAAACACAATTATAAGTAGATACCTAACCTAAAATTAAATAAAACTTACCATCTTTTAATACAACTTTAAGCTGATCTATAAGAGCCATTGATTTTAAACGAGCTTTGCTGATAACCTTAGGAGGAAGCACAGCATCAATTCCTTGATCTTTTCCATCGTCCGGTAAAAGTTTCTTCACATACTTGTGCGAATCTAATTCTAAAGCTAAGTTTATTTGTTGGTTTGTTGCGAATAACTTTTGCCTTTCAAGCTCTGCCGTGGGCGATTTTCGTGGATGCCAATATGTCTCGCACCATGATTCTTCATTGCTTCGTTTCATAAAGTGTGCATAGCCTTGCTTTTCTTTAGCTTTTGTTTTTTTGCTTCCTACACCAGTTTTGGCAAACTTGACAGTCACTTGTTGCAATTCTTCCTCATCATCCTCATCATTGAGCGCCTTTTGTTCGGCTTTTAAACGCTTGTCTTCCTTATCAAAATGTGATAACGAGGGTCTTAATTGCAATATGTTTGCCACAGGTGTCAAATGCAATTCCTTATCTGAGAAGATTCCAATTACGTACTTATCAACGTCTTCCAGAGAACGTGTGCTAGTGAACGCTTGTTTGTCCATGATACCACGCTTAAAGGTTGGCCGGTCACCCTTTATTTGACATTTACCATCAGAGGCTAAAGCGAATTTTTCACCTTTAAAGCGGTCATAAAATTGGGAATCAGTGTTCAAGGCGAAGTCAACCTTTACTTCCTGATTTAATGGTTTTACACAGCAGTTTACTACAGCCGAATTGTCAAAGTTGCTTATTTGCGTCTTTGTTGGATACTGAAAGAGATATAAATTCTCCTGGAGATTCTTTGACAGGAAAACAGGAATCTGTAATACATATTTCTTTAAAACACATTTTGATCACTTAAATTAAGCCATACACACCTCTTCTATAATAACATCATCATCCGCGCATTGACTCAACATTTTGTAAGACAAAAAAAAACGTAAATAATAACCAAAATCGCTGTTAAATGCCAAGGCGAATTTATACAAGGTGGTGTTGATGGCGAGTTTAGATTTTCGCCGCGGTACTTCCTAATGTCAAAATCAAGGCGAATTTATACAAGGTGTTGTAAACAAGGCGAATTCGTATTAAAACAAACACATCATTTTGACATTGATAAGTACCGCGGCGAAAATCTAAATTCACCACCTTGTATAAATTTGCCTTGTTAAATGCAAAATAAAAGTTGCGTTCCCCAACTTTTCTGTGTTAAAACCTGTAAAACTGTCAAAAAGCAAAAGAAGCCAGAGAACTGAGTACGGGAACGCTTTCTGGTAAATTTCTGTAAATTCTTGCAACTTGCGAGTTAGGGAACGCAACTAAATTTTAAAATTCAAAACTCAAACTCACACATACATTCTCATTTTCAATCCCAAACAACAATTGTGAACAAATTTTTTTTTATTTTAAATTTTATATGACAAGGCGAATTTATAATATTATAGGCGAATTTATAATTTGCCTTGTTATATGATATTAAAATGTTGGCAAACAAGGCGCATTTATACCCTTTAGAACGAAAAGGTCAATAGAAGGATTTTATAATTAGTCTGTTCCTTTGAACTTCGGACTAAAACCTGTGGAACTGTCAAACTACAACTTTACACTCTCAAAAGAGAGTAAAAGGAGAACAGATGCAGAAGTGCATAGGAACGCAAAAAGCACTATTTCCTGTAAAAACGTCAGACGGTTTGTTTACATGTCATTGGTACTACACTGATTTGGCTGAAATATCACTAATTAATTATTAAAATCTATACATATTTAAATATTTCGTTGTTTACTTCCATTTTTTAACAAATATAAGGTTCTTTGCTTTCACCGCTTTCTGTTTTTGTTTGGACATGTAAATCAGCTGATCGTTTGACACTTTTCATGAACTTACAGGAAAAAAATCTCCGGACTAAATCCTGTAACTTCTGACTAGGAACAGTTGCTCAGTTACTCTCTCAAATGTGTTCCCACTTACAGGTTTTATGTCAATAGGAACGACTTCCTGTAAGTTCTGACTAAATCCTGTAAACCGGACTGCTATTGGAACAGACTAAATTAGGGTACTCACAGTTTACTTCTAAAGTTAAAAGGTGGCAACTTTAACAAGATAACACACTCGAACTGTGAGCAACCCTTATGTTTAAATAAAGTATTAAGTTAAGTCAACAATACCACGCATTGCTAGACCGTTTGCCTTTCACGCGTTTGTGTTTAGAGAGCATCAACAAACCACATACATATTTCTCTCTATTCTCTCTTCTCTTTTTTATACTCAGCTAGCACAACGCAAAAATAAAAAAAAAAATAACCTTTGCCAGCTCCAGGCAGGCGCAAAGAGAAACTTATGTACAAGCAGCGCTGCGCCCAAAGCGAAATTCATGTATGTATGTTGTCACGTCACCAAACGGGTCTGGCTATATGTGACCTCCTACCAAAACAGTGACTTGTTTAGGTGGAGCCCACACAAATTCAATGGCATCTGCATAGGAACGGGGGAGCAGGTGGTCAGACACCGACCATACCCCACCGATGGCATAGTCGGATAGAAGTAGTCCAGGCTAGAAGCATCGCCATTAAACAAATCCTTTTTTTTTGCAAGTCAGAGAAGTGTACGTTACAAGGTTTAGTTTGACAGTAGATTCAGTTGGCCTATACTTATATATAATTTTTTTTCTTCTTCAAGTCCGAATCGCTTAAAGCAATAAGTGCTTGGAATGCAAAGAGACGTTGTGACCGCAAATGTCCAAACAATTGTGTAGCATAACGCGATAGATCTTCAAAAGAAATAAATAAATAATCCACCGACATTTTTAGTTACAGAAAGAGCATACGCTCCCACAGGAATGATAAGGTCTGCTCCAATCACGACTATAAATTCAAAAAAAAAAAAATAATAATAATAATAATAATAATTTGAAACCCCGAAGTCATCTGAACCTCCCGCATGTAAATCAGACGGGTTTAAAGAACAAAAAGAGTAAATTGAGGGCTATAGGTAAAGATATCACGCGGATGAAAGGTGTGTCCATCCCATACAAGACGCGCTCTAAAACTAGAAACGCTGCTATGCATTCAGCGAATGTGCCAAACCCTAAAGCGCCATGCGCAAACGACCCAGCGTTTATAGATCTCTCGGATCGAATTGGGGGCGGTAATGTTGGGGCAAGTGGTGGAGATATTAGGCAGGGAGACTCCAATAATTTACCAGGGAATCAAGATCGCATTACAGGGGCGGGCCCAAAACAACATAAAGAGTTGCAAATAACCCACTCAGTGGGAGTGCCAACACCCACCTTGACCTTTCCCCATCCTCCGTCCACTAACAATAGCGACGCCAACCTGGTGTCCTCAAACAGTTTAACCAACGCGAGAGATTTTCGCAACGAGTTAGCGCCGGTTTTAAAGGAAATGGTGGCTGAGGTAAAAAACACTCTCTTAAAAGAGATGCGCGAGAGCTTGCCCGGTTTGAGCAGAACGACAGGTGCAGAAATGGAATCGTCAAGGTTCGGTAATAGATCGCGAAATCGGAACAACAAAAGAGCAAGACACAACTCCAGTATCGATTCGTTTAATTCCGGACGCTCAGGAGAACTACATAGAAACAACAATATTAATCAAAACCATACAAACAGAAATAATTACGGTGCAATGTCCCATTCGGCTGCGTATGCATGCGCCTTCGCGGAGCCACCACCACCTCGCCAACCGCCAATAGCAGGTGCAGGGATTCCAGCAGCTGTCTCCGAAGTCGCTCGTCCGGCATCTGGAAGAGAAAACAACAAGGAAATTAGTAAATCGGAAATCAATACCAAAAAGGGGAACCGCCGGAAGTGAACAACCGGAAAGAGCGGTCCAAGGATGGGTGGGCTTCCTGTGAGACGATATGTGCAGATGACGATTGGAACATCCGCCTCGCCTCAATGTGGCCAAGGGTTGAGAACCGCGCCAATAACATATGCTGAGCTAGCATGGGTAACCACATTGATGGCAGAAAAAAAGGCGGATATGCAGGTACGTGTACGTGACAATGTATATACAAGCAGCGATAGATGCCAGTTTAACACAGAACATAAACATGAGACAAAGTCTAGTAATTTNAAAAATAACCTTTGCCAGCTCCAGGCAGGCGCAAAGAGAAACTTATGTACAAGCAGCGCTGCGCCCAAAGCGAAATTCATGTATGTATGTACAAGCAGCGATAGATGCCAGTTTAACACAGAACATAAACATGAGACAAAGTCTAGTAATTTTGCCCAAAAGTGTTATCTCTAATTAGTATGGGAACCAACAACAAACAAAGTTACCACATGGTAAAATGTTTTAAAGTTACCAGGTGGCAAAATTGACACAGTAGATAATATAGAACTGTGAGTACCCTAAATATTAAAACAAAATTGAACGTAAGAAAACAAAACATATTTGATGTAGACAACTTAAGAATTTTATTTTTATTTGTTAATATTTTTTGTTTGTCTATAAATTTACAGTTTTTACTGCGATAAAATCGCACAGATGTGTGCGTACTTGCGTTTTCGAAGCAGTAACGTCTGTAGCATCAAAAACGGTGCGGACTCGTTGCGACAGAATCGCAAAGGTGTGTGGATGCCTTAGCTCCCAAAATTATTAAAAAATTCAATGGAATGTAGAATAAAAATATGGGTAACAAATGCAATAGGAAATTTCTTTAGAATTTAAAAAAAAATTAAATTGTTTTGCTCCACCAGGACGAATAGGTAATTTTTAAGCTGACAAAGTTAGAAGAACGAAATTCGAACAAATATTGCGAAATTTCAAGGATAAAATTTTAAAATGACATTTTCAATATTTACTAGCCCTTCTGCGCTAGAAACTTGAATATGTTTAAATTCTACAGGATTTCCTCATTAATTTTATACCCTTACTTCTTCTCTAAGCAAATTTCTCTGAATTTTTTAAATCATTTTTGAATTACTGACGTCAGCGTGAAAAACTAGAAACGCAATTTTACTATATTTGCCCATGGTTCCGCGAATATATTGATATTTGTGTCTAAAATTTACTATCGCGCGGTGTTATATGTACAGTGAGCTAGACATTTATAAAAAATATTAATTATTAAATAAAAAAATAAATATGGCCAATACTGGTCAAGAAACGGAGTTTCTATTATTGCCATCAGTGCAAATTACAAATCCCTAAAATCCCGGGATTACTTGNGAGCTAGACATTTATAAAAAATATTAATTATTAAATAAAAAAATAAATATGGCCAATACTGGTCAAGAAACGGAGTTTCTATTATTGCCATCAGTGCAAATTACAAATCCCTAAAATCCCGGGATTACTTGCCCAAGAATCCCGGGATTTTCGAGACCTTAAAAAGTCCGGGATCCCGGGATTAACATTCCTAATACATACATATCGTAAAATAACGTAACATCATCACTGAAATGGAAAAAGTCGTGACTTTTGTTTTATAAAGCGATGTGGGGAGTTGTAATTCGATAAAATTCATCATAGCAATCAAAAAGTAAATTTTGAATTTTTTATAAGTTACGACTTTTTGCATTTCAGTGACGATGTTGTTACGTCTTTTTGCATTTCAGGTGAAGATATGTAGTCTATAAGGGAGAACCTCGAAAACTACTTTACTGATTTGGACGATTTTCTCTAATATATTCTGTATCGACAGGAGAGTGACCTTTGGTATTTAGAATTTTATAGGGTTGCCACCGGTCTAAAAAATTATGTATCCGCACCGTTCGTTGGATTACAAAAAATTAGGTATAAAATAAAACGGATTGGCCTCTAGATAAGCACAAGTGTTTTATTTTTTTTAAGGATTTCCAACTCTTTAAGCAAATTACTATATTCAATCTTAATAAACGAAGGTATCAGTTCGGCACCGTCACTGTCAAAGTCTTTTCAGACTTAGCCTCTAGATCTGGAATAATATATTCGGCCCTATTATGTTTTTTGATGTTAATATTGATGTAATTTTTGCATTAAAAAATAGCCCTCATGCGTCCAACTAAAGCTCCGCCATTTTTGCGAGGAACACCTCTCCTCAAAAATACTGTGGTCAGCGTAGCTAGAGTTGGATTTACGAGGGCTATTTTTTGATGAAAAACTTACATCGACGTCGACGTCGACAACCATAATAGGGCCGATTATCTTTCGAGTAGGGTTGCCAACTGTTTAAAAATTATATATATATGAATACCACCGTTTGTTGAATAACAAAAGGACATACCAAATCAAAGGACATAGCCTTCCTTACATAGCATAAAGCCAAGTCGAGATTTTTTGAACACGCTATTCTCGAGAATTACTTTACGGGGAATTATCTTTAGTACTTAGAAATTCTATAGAGTTGCCTCCTGTCTAAAAAGTATAAGATTCGTTCGTTGAACTACCAAACGTGAGATGTCAAATGAAAGGGCTTGGCCTCTAGATGTTCAGTAATGTATTATTTTTTAAGTACCACATTTTTATAAATTATAAGATCTTCACCGTTCGTTGGACTTGAAAGAATTTTTAAAATCCATTTATAAATTTTGAGTATCATGAATGATTTTTTTAAAACAAGTTAACATAAAACGCACCACTTAAAAATTCTCAGTTAAATTCATATTTTTGTTTCTTTAAATAATATCAAATCAGCTGGTCTACTGATACTACCTGTTCAATGTGCCTTGGTTTTACCATAAAAATCTTTTAATAAAATATTTTTATAAAAATATAATAAATAGTCAAAAAACAATTTTGACCACTTTCTCTTTCCTCTGGCCCGTGCACTGAAAAAATGCGATTGAGTGATGTTTCGTTAATTTAGCTCCGAAACGTAACGAAATTATTTTGTTAAATTTATAGCTCATTAATGAAACGAAATGATAACGTTTGTTGAGCATCCCCTGGCAAGGTTTAAATGTAACTTACTAAATTCAAGCTCCATGCATTCAATTTATGTACATATGTATGTGTATCGAACCGATTTCTGAAGCCCCAAACCCCGGATTATAACAATATACTATATAAAAGCGGAATTCGGCGAAAATATTTTCTCCAAAAACGTTTTCAGCCTAAATATGCGTTACAAATTTATTGATTTCTAAAGAGAATTCAAAATCTAATTTCGATGGATTAATCTAAACATTATTTGGCATTGTCCAACGTATCTTCTGCGAACTTGAGAGTTTTCTTTTTGGTCACCTCAGATTTACACTTTTGATTTTCGATCCGCTTATCCAGTGAATTCAATATTTGAGTCAACTGCCACNTTTGGCATTGTCCAACGTATCTTCTGCGAACTTGAGAGTTTTCTTTTTGGCCACCTCAGATTTACACTTTTGATTTTCGATCCTCCTCTTATCCAGTGAATTCAATATTTGAGTCAACTGCCATAATGCCTTCAGGCCGTGGTATCGTATAATTTTGATTGCAAAACATGTCAGGTACCACATTAGAATGAAATATATTATTTCGTCAAACAGCAAAATAATTGCTAGTATCACTTCCAATGAGTTCATAGTCGCTTTGTGATGGTCCAACCACTCAACAGTATGCTCGTTAACTCTTGCTTCTATTCATTACGATTTTGTAAGCGCAAGTTACTAAATATACATACATACATATATCGTCGTTTAAAGTACAAAACCGCGTAACTGACATTAGTGCCAAAAAGGATATTTGCTCACCGGAAGCTCCTGACATCGAGCCCTTCTTCTCCATTCATACTGAAATATCGGTTCTCTCCTACAAAAATTTTGACAACCTCTTCCACCTCGAGGTTTTGCATTTTCTTGATACGCGATTTCGTACTTTAAACGACGATATGTATGTATGTATGTATGTACATACAACAGACGCCTTCGATTCGCCACTTCTCTGCTCGCTAAGTTTGAGTTCCGCTCGCTTTACGAAAAGTTTTGTATTCGAAAGCAACAACCATGTTAGCTAGCAGCGATAAACGATGGTGTGTTTGGTTGTACTCGCTAACTGTTGGCGAATCGATGGCGGCTTATATGGATTCAAATGTTTTTAATGTAACCTTTTAGACTGCCCAGCTCTATAGTTGAGTTCACATCGATTTTAAGGCAGTGAAATACGTCATCCCATTTTCGATCTGCTGAGAGTTTATCTAAATCCTTACATTGAGAGGACATTTTTGGAGCTACTATTTAAGCTAACTTTTTTATTCTATTTAGTTTTTGATTTATTATACTGACGTTCCTTTGTTTTTGGACAGGAAAAGCACTGTATCGTTCGTTACCCATGGCACAATAATTACAGGTATTACAGGTCTTGCCAGTGAGTTTTGCTTCACATCGAAATTCGTGCTCCCTTATTTTTTTAAAGTTTCATAAATTGTGAGTATTCTCAACGGCCTTGCCACTTTGATAATATTAAAACAATAAATCGGAGTATTTTCTTTCCCACATTTATACCAATTTAAAAATATTTCAAATCAAAAATCATTATCAGTGCTTGGTTTTTTTTTTTACTTACATGGTTCGCCCCTTTTTTTTTATTAAAAATATATAAAATGTGTAATGTTAAAGGAGACTTCATTGAAATTGTTCTTTTTATTTTATAATAAAAATCACGAGAGCATTATGTTGTAATTTTTTCATTTTCTTATTTTGAATGAAATCTTGCGATTTAAAAATCAAATTCTAAAGAATGCTCTTTTCAAATAAATCGTTTTATAATCGCCAATTCCATGTGAATAAATTTTTCTCATAACGTAACATGCAAAACAAAAACAAATTGGGAAAAATTATTTTTGTTTTGCTTTATAATTTTTGGGAATATTTGTTCACATGAAATTCGTGATTCGTGATGAAATTCGTGAAAATTTACTTTTAAATTTCTCGTCAGATTTTGCAAAAAATTTGGCTTTGTGGTTAGCGTATCACCATTAACTTCAACAAATTGCGAATTTAAAATTTCCAATGTATACAAAAAACTTGAATTCGGCTTGCGCATAACGCCCTCCGATAAGCAATTAGCATAAGTATAATTTTAATCACTTTCTTCATCCGTTCTGAAACATAGATTCGTCAAGCCCATTTTGGAGATTATGCATTAATTTTCAGATTCATCATATTCGACATCTTTGAGTGGACTGATGAAATCTTCTGCTTAAAAAAAAAAATTTACTGCTCGTGATCAGGTAGCATGAATTTAATGAAATGTCATAATTTTATTAAAAGTCAAATGGTTAACAACAACAACGAATGTCATTAAATGAAACTACCTTCTTTTTTGTATCATGAGCGGTTCTACCTTCTATTTTTTTATCATGGATTCAATTATTAAAGGTTTTGTAAGTAGCTTTTTTCTAAAATTTGACACTCCCACCCTCAGCGATGGTTTTTGGAAGCAGGAGAAAAAGGGGAAGAATTCAATCACACTTCCTAAAATGGGAGCTAAATTCCATAAAAGGGTGTGGATAATAGTGAATGGTGGATTTTTTAAACAAAAACGAATTTGATTTAATTATGTAATTTAAACAAGCTTACTTACATCGAATATAAGCCCTGATTGTTATGAAAAAAAATTAAATGATTACACTTATGTAGAAAAAAACTAGCGATGCATCCAGTTTTTTAATGTTCGATAGTTACATAGACGTTGAACATTTCCGCTGGAAATACCTATTTAAGGATCTTACTCTTTGACTTTAAATTAACAAAGAGGGGGGATTTAGGGAGACAGTTTTAACGAAGCATTGGAGATGGCAAAGATATTAGCTAAAATTTTTATTTTGTTTGCCAGATATACGTTTCATCAGTGCACTTGCACAATATTCGCATTCGCAAAAGCTCCGCATTGATTATTGCGAATGCGAATGTTAAAAGTTAATACGGAAGCTCCGCGGTTGCGAATGCGATTGCGAATATTGGCAACAACCCTCGCTTAGAATTACTGTGACTGACCATTTCAATTAATTTATTCGTACCACCTGGCAATTTGGATACTTTCAAATTCTTTAGAAAAACGTTTATTTTCGCGGAAAGTCTAATTCTGTGCGTGCTTTAAAGGGGCAGCGCTGATACTCAACCAATTGTAGTTCGGCGTTATGGAACATTAAACTTTGTATGTATGCAATGCAATTAACGTAAGGACTATCACAGAATCTTTCGAATCTTCGTTTTTCTGGAAATCTACGAAAGTTCGGGTACGTTCAGAAATGCATCAAGCCAAAGCATCAGTCGCTTTTACTTCTAAACTATAACTGATGGAAATGCCTTATTCACGCAACTAAGTTCCAATTAGGCATTTAACCGTGGTTGCCCATTTTGGACATTTCCATAAATTATAAATGCGTCTGATGCTTTGGTTTGATGCATTTCTGAACACACCCTTCTACTACAGAATCCGAATGGCTACGAACGTAAATTTGAAATTCGTAGAGAGCCTTCATTGAATCCGTTCGTAATGAAGATTCGTACAGATACTCTACGACGGGTTTATGCTGTCGTAACAAAATTTAAAATCACTGAATCTTAAAAATAATGGAAAAAGCTGCGTTATTGTTAATAATAAATATTTATTATGGTCCAAATTTGTTATAGTTTAATATAGTTCCGTATATTTGTGCAAATGTAGAGGTAAAGTACCAATTACATACATAGATACATACTATATGTACATATGTACATTTACTGCTAGACACTATTTATTAAACGAATATTTTTCATGAAGAGAGAAAAAATAGTTTAACAAAAACTTATTAGGAAAGAAACCTTATTACTTTAATATCATAAGAATTAATAAAAAAGAGAAATGTCTCTTAAATAATAAAATCTAACCAAAAAAAATATTAAAAAATTAAACAAAAAAAAAATAAATAAAAAGCTCCACTGCCCGACGACTCGGACTCGAACTCGGATCTTTCAATTGGCAATCTAGCGCTTCGCTCACCCGTCCATTAAGACTGCTGGGGCAGCGTCAGCAAAATGGCATACATAAATGTCTATTGTTTCCTTTGCACTAACTGATTTCGAATCAGCATTCGAAGCTGGCAACGATATTTTCGAGTTCACTCGGATTCAGTGATGGCAATTTTTTCGTATTCATAGCAGGCATTCGAATTCATAGATTTTCTACGATGGATTCCGTGATAGCCCTGAGTATTAGGATATTTTCATTGCGATATCTTCGCTGAAGATTAATCTTAATTGATGGCGTGAACCTCTGCTTGGAATATGCTAGGAATTCTTCCCATAGAAAATATGCCTGGTCTATTGAAATGACTGGGAGTGTATCTACCGACCTTTATACAAGGCCGAATTTCAAAAGAAAATTAGTTAAGACCTTTCTATATTAAGGTAACGACGTTGTGCTGCATGGTGTAACGGGTCCCATGTGCAGCATATTCATTTCGTTAACTTAATTTAGAAAGGCCCTATCTAACATTGTATTAACGGAGGACAGCTAATTTAAAGTGTTGTAGATATATACATACATACATATCGTTACCTTAATTAATTAATTCACAAAGTCCCTAACTAACAAATTTTTTATTTTACAGGAGATGCAAAAAAAAACATAAAAATAGAATCAAAAATAGGTAGGGTTCCGTTGTTTTTGGTAGTAACACGTTACAATTTTTGTTGAAGGTGTATTTTAATATCTTTTGCCGAAATCTGTGAAAAACGCAGTTTTGACAAAACGAGTTGGTTGGGGCCTTGTGAATTAAGGTAACGATATGTAGGTATAGTAGGAGAGCCGACTGCTTCAGAGGCGAAGTTGCAGCTCTTGAAGTGTTCTTCCCACTTTTTCCGCTTATGCTGGTTTACCAGTTGCCGAATGTCCGAATTAAGGTCCTTCAAGCGAGGATCCCTGGTCACGTTCATTTGCTAGAATAGCTGTTTCTGCCGGGAAATTTAGGCAGGCTACCGCGATGCGTCCGGACGGTATTAAGCGAGTCGCTGCGGTAGTGGCTAACCTCCGGAACTGGCGTTCGCCCGCGTGTATGTCTGCGGGAATGGGAAGGGCGGCGAAGCTGCTCTCGGTCCGCGAAGCCATTTTAATCGGCTTGTTAAAGTTGATATAGGTTCGGTGGTCCGCGCGGCAAAGTCGGTGGGCTTATTGATCGAGATGATTATGAGCAGTTGGTCTGATGCCAGCGTTAGGATGGGTCGCCATGTTATGCTATTTATCAGACCAGAGCTAGCAATTGTTAGGTCTGGCGAGCTGTTGCAGCTGCCCACGATCCTGGTGGTGTCGTCGTCGTTCATGGAGCAGAATGTCGAATCGTCTATCTGCTCAGCCAATAGGTTTCCCCTACGATAATTTGCCAGGCTTGAGTGCCAAACATCGTGGTGCGCGTTGAAGTCAACTGCTACCATTCGGTTTTCACATCTGCACACGTAGGTGCTGGGTGATATCCTGCCGGGCAGCAGGGTATTCTAGGGTGGTGTCCTTCGGGTCGATGTCATCTTCTATTTACCGATACTGCACTGTGTGGTATAGAATGAACGCTAATCCTCCACCATTATCTCGTTCGCGACGACGTGTTGGGGCTGCCTTCGGCCTGTTGCGCCCGCCGCAATTGCTGTTGCTGCCTGGCGGCTGGTGGCTGCAGTGCACGCGGTGCAGATGGTGTGGGCAACCGGGAGCTGCTGGTTGGCTCGCACACGGGAATTGGAGCGGCTGGTAAAGTGTTGTGTGGTGTGAGGGGGTGGGGAGGTTTGCTGTTACTCAGTGGAGCTTTTTGGAGCAGTACAGGCTCTTTGGGTACTAGTTCGCACCTGTGCGTGTGGGTAGCCGTGGTCCACTCCCTATGAGATTTAAGGCCAGAACAGGTTCTTAGGTGACTCCATCCGTTGCAAGAGTTGCACCTAACCGAAGTGGAGTTCGGATGGAGTCGTTTCTGGCAAACGCAGCAGAAGTATGTTTCTGGTCCGGGGTTGGGCTCATTGCGCGCCCGGAGATGAAGGATGCGGAGCAATCCGGCTGCAAGGTTCGCTGATCTAAACGGGGTTAGGTCGCCGAAACAACAGCCCTTGGTCGGGTAAAACCCTAGTCATTCCGGTACGCAGAACCGGCTGTCGTGGGAATATGTAATAGGTAATAGTTACCTTCGGACTCTGCATTTTACTATAAAATGCAGAATTTTCTTAAATTTTTTTACTTTTTGGAGTACAAAATGCACTCGGCTTGTTGTTTTTTCTGTATACTATGTATGTATACCGATATCACAAGTTAAATTTTTCACTATTTACTTATCTAATAGGTAAAATTTTTGTTATTGGAAAAGCATTAAAATTCCACAAAGATTTTTTGGGAATCAGCTGGAGGGACGGTCGTTGGGCTGAAATACTAGATCTGGGTCGTACCGGTTACGTAGACCTGACTGTCGGGGGACGTATCTAATAGGTAATATTACTTGTAGTATTTGTCTTACGTTATTCCTTGTCCTGAATGATGTTTGACCAACTTTTATGTAGATTTTCCAGTATGTATAGGCTAGCGCTGCCCAAATTTTTCCATTACTTTCTTTCTATTTTTTTTTTGCATTCTCTTGGTATCTATCTTCTCTACCAAATCCGTTTCGTATCGCGCTATATACTATTTAATACTTAGCGTAGTGTTCTGTACTTGCAATTGTAGCAAAGGTTTTTCGATTTTCATGAGACNTCCGTTTCGTATCGCGCTATATACTATTTAATACTTAGCGTAGTGTTCTGCAATTGTAGCAAAGGTTTTTCGGTTTTCATGAGAGTTTGTTAGTAGTCGTCTTATTTTTTTTTAGTGATGTTAAGTTTAACAAACTTTGGCATGTCAATTTTAGTTCGCTTTAAAAAGTGAAATATTCCATGAAATATTGGTTCAGATATTTTAGTTCTTTGTTATACGCACCATATAATTTGTTGTTGTTTGTTTTTATTGTTTTTATTTCATCGAACAAGTCTATTAAAGTGTCAATTTGTTCGGGATCCGCATACCATAACTGATTCCGAAAGCAATTTTTTGTAGACTTGTTCTTTTTTACACCAACAAGTATGTTGGTTTCTCGTCATAAATAGAATAAAGTTAATTTATATACATATATTAAAATAAATGAACTGTATTTATTTCAAAATAAAAAAGTGATTGTAAACTTAATAGTCAATTGGATATACGCATATGTATGCATGTATGTGTGTATACTACTCTTACTTCATCGTCGTTCGTGGTATCAAATGGTCTGATTAAATGAGATAATACAGTAAATATATCATATTTACTTTTAACTAGTTTGGTAATTTGTTATAGGTTGAAATGTGATAATACAATAATAAATAATTATGCACCACGTAACTTCTAGCTTCCGCTAGTCTTTGTTAACAATAGTATTAATTAGAGACCATATGAAACCATTTTAACTGTATCAAATTTTCATTACCATCCATACATATGTGTGCTTCGAAATTTCATTAGTAGAAAACTATAAGAATCCAAAAGTTCCGATCTTCGTTATGGGAAATATACTATATACTGAATACAAACAGATATACAATGTACACGTTGTTAAGAAATCACTTTATAATTACATTGTATTCACCATGATCATCGATACCCTTTGTAGAATAGTATATCGCAACCTTCAGATTCGTTATAACGTCAGTTAGCCATATGCTTCTCTTCTATATTCTTGAATTAGATGATGCACACTGCCGCGCTGCTCTCAGTTCAAATGTTCAGTATTAAGAGCCGAATTTGAATGAAGTGGGAACGGTTTGTTGTGGGAATGCGAAACCTCCTCGTTTCTCAATAAGTTTTGATTCTTTAGCTGCTTTTCGTTGATCGGCGGTGACCACAATTTCTTGAAGTGCTTTCGTCTGTTCTGTGGTAAGAGCAGCTGTTAAAAGAGCATACCAAGCTGGATCTTGGTTGGACAGAGCTGCAAATAGATATGTACACTTTTTCTTAAAAACATCTTCAAATAGGTGATGTATAGGTCAGCTTACCAGAAAAAACTTCCTTGAATGTAACATATTCATCAATCGCAGTTTCTTCTTCTTCTTCGTCGATTGGGGTAGTAAAGCCCTCAAGCGCAGTTTCGTTAAGATCATCGACAGATTCCTCTTCTTCATCATCAGAGTCTTCGTCATCTTTAATCTCTGCTTTCATTTCAAAACCTGCTTCTGCGCCTTTCGTTTTAGATATTTCGGCAATTTGTTCCAAATAGTTGGACGCGAATTCGTCAACTTCGTCTTCATCGCTTGATAATGCTTCTATTAATAAATAAAAGTTGAAACAGTTTACAATTGTTGGAGGTTAAACACATTTCCAAACCTTCGCAATCATCTTCATCATCTTCTTCCTCCTCCTCGTCATCTTCTTGTGCCCGCGATTCATATGCCCGTTTAAGTCCATCGAAAAGAAGAATGAGATTAGGTAAAATCTTACCAGCTACCTCGCTAAGAACTGGTGGCTTGGCGTCGCCCAATGAAATAAGCGTGCATAGTCCAAGTACGCAGAGTTTACGATCGTGAATTCTACGGTACGAATAAAATAATAAAAAATAATAAAAGTTTCGCTTGTATACAAAGTTTACCCTAGGAAACAATCAGTATCATGAAGCCATTGCTTAATAAAATGTGATGAAATTGATTCGTTAGTTGGCTGAGACATTTTTTCCAAAATCGTCAGCAAAAGTTGTGGATTATAATAAAGCGCTGCTATTACGACCTGCAATGAAACATTTTAAGCGTGCCTTCAAGAATTATAAGGGAAATTCAATTCAAATGCCTCGTAACCACGTAAACCCCCTAAGCTTACTTAATTTTGTATGAAANGTTAGTTGGCTGAGACATTTTTTCCAAAATCGTCAGCAAAAGTTGTGGATTATAATAAAGCGCTGCTATTACGACCTGCAATGAAACATTTTAAGCGTGCCTTCAAGAATTATAAGGGAAATTCAACTAAACACGTAAATGCCTCGTAACCACGTAAACCCCCTAAGCTTACTTAATTTTGTATGAACAACTGGTTTATTTACGAGATTTACACGTGGTTCCGAGGCATATACGCATTTTGATGAATACCCACAAAAAAATTTTGTTTTGTGTCACCTGTAAACACATTGTTCGTAACTCGGATGACTGCACTTCGCGGGTTAGGCGCGACAAAGCCAATTCAACAAACATCGGAATTACAGAATCTATTTGACCTTTGCACTGCAGAATTATAACTTCAAGTAGTTTAGCGGCATGGCATTCAGGGTCTTCGCCAGGGCTGCTTGTCAACATCTGAAGTACAATTAGATTAACAAATATTCGGTAGTATTTTTATAAACGATTTCCATACAGTCTTGCACATGTCGAACATAGCCAAAAGTCGATTCGGATTGGAAAGGAAAGCGGGCGTATCAACAGTAACATAATTGTGTAAAGCTGGCATAATATCGATAAAATAATCCACACCATCCTTTTTGAACACTTGATAAATCAGTTCCATCATCTGCCACATTTCAGGTGAAATTGCTTTCGCAGTTAGATCAAAAACTAACGAAAATGTCTCCTCATAAAAATCTACAATGGAACATTGAAAACTAATTAAATCTGCTAATTTTAGCACACCGTCACCAGCCACGAATAAAGGCGCAAACGCAAAAGTTGACTGCGAAAAAAGACGCATAAAAAAAAACTTCATCGAAAAAAGGCGCGTAAACCTAGTTGACGGCGAAGAAAGACGCGTGGACTTATTTTCGCGGTCAACTATGTTTACGCGTCTTTCTTCGCGCGGACGTTTTTATTATGCTGCTTTTTTCGTAAATTTTTTTCATACGTCCTTTTTTTGCGTCAAAACACGCGCGCGTCTTTATTCGTCTCGAGCATGTATTTGGGCTCAACATTTACCTGTGATGTTGTTTTGGAATATGTGTCCAACCACATTAATTACAATTGGATGTAAATTTAACAAAACATCGGGATGATCTTCCATGACGGTAAGTAAGGTTTCGATTGTGTTCAACAAACCCATTGCAGTAATGGCCTTCTCATCGGAGTTTTCATCGGATTCTAGTACTTGGCTAAATGTCGTAGCCAAATGTTGGCATATTTCCATTGCCACTGGTAGCAATTGGGTTGTAAATGTGCACATAATTTTTTGCATGACATTGGTCAGATCTTCGTTTTCGGTTTCGCGAATGATGGTTAGCAGTTCTTTCGTGATTTCTTTTATTTGACTCTCCACGTATTGTGCAGCATCGTCATTGGTTGACAAGAACATCTGCAAGCCGATTGCTGCTTCAACTTTAACTGGCAGCTCTTTATCATTGAGCAATGCATGTATATTCAAACGCATGATTTCGGCCAACACTTGTGGGTTCTTGAGCTGGATATCGCAAAAATAGTGTAAAACCCAACACGCGCGGGCACGCATGTGACCAGCAGGGTTATGGAACTCGGGAAAGACATAGGTTGTTAACATGGTTTCTACTTGGTCACGATAAACACGCTTCTTAAGCAAAACATCCGCCAATGTCCCAATCATATGCAAAGCGCCATCTTTTTGTTTGTTATCTGCATTCGGCGAGGTTATGATCTGTTAGAATATAATGAGAATAGGAATGAAGTACAACTCTACTACTTTTATTTTAGATAGTATATTTAGTTAACTCGCATAGATAAAAACATTTGCGCCAGTGAATTATCTAAACATTGGCTTGCATATACTTTCGGTGGGAAAAGCGTTGTTCATTCCCACTGTGCGATTTGCATTCGTTTATTATGGATCGATTACGCATGGCAACCGAACTTCACTTGCATTGTCAGTGGCTAAAATGGTGTTACAGATGACAACTGGCAACTGAAAGGAGGCAACTAAGTTGCTTATTGGCGACTGCATTTCTATGGTTGTCGCGGAAATTTTGTTTGAAAAAATTCCTTTTTTTCTTCAACTGTTTCTGCAACTTAATTAAACTAAAAAGTCTTGTACTTAAAAATTCTATTATCAACAACTTTTTAGCACTTAAGTATAGTTGCTATTCATAATATACATTTTCATTTCAGTGGCGTTGCCCATCGGCAACCCAACTGAGATTGCGTTGCTATTCATTATCCCACCCACTATTTTACAGTCGGCCACTGAGACAAATTTTTTGAGGTGATATCATATTCTTCGTCTGTTGAGGTTTAAAAAAAAGATACACAGTTACTATGTATTTACCAGAGTTGTGAAAAATTCACTATTTTTAATCTTAAGGTAAAAAATTAATGTTTTATTTTTTTGAAATTTAATTTTAGCGAAAATTTCAATGCATTAACATTCAAATTTTTTAATGAAGGCTATTGCAATAATTTATTGCATTAAGAGTATAACAAACATTAAAAACCCATTAACTAATTTTATTTTGAAGTAAAAATTCTTTGTTGATGTTGAGGGTAGAATTTTGAGGTCAAAAAAGATAGTGGCGGAAGTTAAGGTTGGTTTTCTCTTTGTCAAGTTCAATGGAATTTGCCGTCAAATAGGTAAAAACGTATTGTCAAATGGAACTAAAAACGGTTTAGTGATTGATTTAGATCAGAATCACGATTGCCACATTTGGTCACTTGTGACCAAAATACATAGGTAACTTTTTGAGTGCTTGGTAACTGGCAACTTTTTTTTTTTATTTTGGTAACTTTTGGTAAGTTTGTCGTGTACAAAGTCAGACTAAAAAAGTTGGACTATTTTGATAAAATGTATCAACGGTGGGTAAACGCGGCTCTTTGAACCGAATACGGCTCTTTGCTTAGCAAAGTGCGGCTCTTTTTACTTTCTCTTTGCTTAGAGCAATTTGGCTCTTTTTACTTTTTAAAATATGTACATATTTCTTTGCTGGACATTCTTTTCCATTGTGTTGTTTTTATTGTTTTTTATTCTGTTTTATTCTTTTTATATACATACATACACAAATTGCGATCGGAACATTACCCGCAATTGGAGAATGAAAATTGGCTTTCTGACTTAATGTTCTATACCCATATGACGAAACATTTGCAAAACTTGAATTTGTCTCTACAAGGAGAGTTTTGAAGCTGAACTACGTCTTTTTATTCATGATCTCAAAAAAAAAAATATTTCATCATTTTCAATGGCTAGAAAAAAGTATTGCACAGATTTTGAAAAAAGATTTGCCGATTTGAAATTATTTAAATGTACGTTTGCATACTGCATAAACCCTTTTTTTAACTTCCTTTTATTAGCTCGGGATGTAACTATGTAATATTGATGCGCCTATAAAATGCAGCGATTTCTATTCTCAAGTTCATTTTTTACTGGAAATTTCAAACGAACGAAATTTCAAACCAACATTTAACAGAACTTTAACTGACGTAAACCAGATTTTGAAAATTTGGCCAAAGGGGAGGGCAGTGGAGATTTTTTTCATTTCTTATTTAATTTATTTTTTATTTTTTTAATAAATATTTTTTTTTTTAAATAAATTTTTATGATATTAAAGTAATTAGGATTATTTCCTAATAAAGTGTTGCTAAACTATTACTTCCCCGATTCATACAAAATATTAATTCATTAAATAGCGTCTAGCAGGTGAATGCGTGTGTGTACATATGTATGGCATTGGTATTTTACGTCTACATTTACACAAATATATGGAATTATATCAAACTATAACAAATTTGGAGTATAATAAATATTTAATATTAAAAATAATGCAGCTTTCTTCCACTATTTTTAAGATTGAGTGATTTTAAATTTTGTTCCGACAGCATAAACTCGTCGTAGAGTATCTGTACGAATCTTCATTACGAACGGATTCAATGAAGGCTCTCTGCGAATTTCGAATTAACGTTCGTAGCCAATCGGATTCTGTGATAACATTTTCGTAGATTTCACGAAAATCGAAGCTACGATGGATTATGTGATAGCCCTGATTGGTTTTATTTTTGCAAACCTTTCCTTTTTCAAAAATATACAATTTCATAAAATTTCAATGTCTATTTATCATATTGATAGAGCGTTAAGGTTAACATTATAGACAATGTTTTTGTGTAAAATAATAATAAAAAAATGCTATAATCAAAAAAAATCAAAAAGAAAAATTTTTATTTTTTTTTTGTTTTTTATACGTTGCACATTAATCTAAAAAATTAAGATTTGAAGCCCATAATGAGACGGAAGAAATACATTTTTTTCATTAAGTTTCGTTAAAAGGTTTCCCAAGATACAGCACTTTTAAGAAAGGTATGTATGACGTTTTCTTAAAATTTAAGTGTAAATAGGCAACCCTACGTAATATCGGCAAAATATGCTGCACGTATATTCATGCCACCTAGACCGTCAATTTCTTCAACTTTCATCCAAATCCTGAGAAGTCGCGCCCAGAGGTGGCCGCGGTAACATGAAATGCCTCAATAGGGTTTTTAGATATCTCAGCTTCTGCGACGCCTACTGGAAATTTTGTTTCCCCTATGCACAGTAGGCACCTTTTTATATATACGATTATATATGCAATTGTAGTGGTATAGTAGTGAAATAGTTTATAGTAATAAGCAGAGAACGGATTTTATGGAAACTGCCTTTTTTCTGCTAAAGAGCTTTCTGCTTTCTGCTTAGCTTTTCCTGGTATATATACATTTGATGTTACCTTTTTTAAGATATTTACCTTTTTTTGCCTATTGTACCTTTAAAAAAGTGATTATAGCGAGTAAAAAGCCCTTATTCCTGATAATATAAAAGTTTCAAACGATCCATATTTAAATTGGGCGCCAGTTGCATCAACTCACGTCGAGCGCACGTTTAGTACATTCAAGGCTGTCAAAGCCAGTTCTGTTACACAAAAATATTAAGTTGATAATAAAGAAACTCGATGGATAATTAAAGAAGTAATAAGTGGTCATATGAAAATGCGCAGATTTTTTTATGAAAAATTAGCAGGAAAGAATGTTACTCATACGCCATGTACAACTGAAAATATTTCGAAAACTTATTCATAGAATAAAAGAATTAACTCGATTTTGGGAATCAGCGAGCAATTCTATATGGGCCTGAGCACACTAGCCTGCTCAGTCGGACTGAGCAGTCCACCACTCGAACGCACACTGGACTGGGCAGTCGGCCGAAAACAGGTTTCAGTTTTGTATACATGAACTACGCATGATTGTGTTAGTGCATGTGGCACATCCCTGCAGTAATAAGGCGGCCAATTTTGCGTAAAGGACTAGTACCCACTGGTTAAAATTTGACTGGTCAGAATTGGAGATTTGCTTGCATCGAAAATGTCAGCCTTCGACCAGTCCCCAAGGAACCGGCCTAGAGATAGACGAAAAGTACAGTTTGGCAGTGGCAGGGTGGTGTTGTCTTGCAATTAAATAAAAAAATTTAAAGAACACCACCCTGTAAATGTCCCAATCGCTTGGTCGGGCCTTGATACAAAGTGAACATTTGAACACACATTTACATGCGTGGCTGTAGCTCAGGGCGCAGAGATGCTTGGCACTATTTGTTAGGAGGGTCCGGGTTCAAATGGCGTCAGAAGCAACAAGGTTGGTTATAAAATGATAAAATTTATTTTTTTGTGTCTCCGAATTATGAAAAAGCATCTGAGAAGTGCAGAACGCAATCTTACTTCAACGAAAAAAAGTATCCAAAATTGGACTAGTCCAGTAGCTCGTTTCTGTAACTTTTCTCTACCGATTATTTCTCTACTGGTAGAGAATATACGTCATTCTCTACTACTCATTAGCAGTAGAGAACAGGGCGGCGAATTCATATCCCAATTCGCCTTGGTAGAGAATTTTTACAGAAACGAGCTAGAGGACTATCTTACGGTCAGTGTTGATTGGACCGGTCCTTTTCCAATGACCATGTAATTATGAGGGACTAGTGCTGGTAACAACACGGACTATCTGAGGGCTAACCTAGGATGAGTCTGAATTGCTGCAGGGATGCAAACAAAACGAAATAGAAAACATGTTGTCTATGTGTGCGTGTCAGTCCACCGTCAATCCGCGATTTTCGCGGACTGAAATGAGAGAGGTAAACTCGAACTCTCTTCCCCCTCTTATCCACACAAAACCGGTTTTAGGCGGACTGAGCAGTCCAGTGTGCGGAGGCCCTCTAGGAATTGTATATGTAGTGGCGTACGTTCTTCTTTTGCCTTTTTTGCTATTTCTAGTGCCTTTTCCTGCCTATTTCGCTATTTGATTTTGCCTTTTCCCGCCTATTTCATTATTTTATTTTGCCTTTTTATAGGTTTTTAGGTCCTAAAAATCCGTTCCCTGGTAATAAGTAATGACAACTACCTGCATTATTATATTCATGGCTTTTGGTAAAATTCCTTTCCGTTTTTTGCAACAAGTGTGTAACAATGATTGTGCTGCTGGCACCGGTGTTGCGTAGTCCTCAAAGATATCTAAATGTATAAAGTATTTTTAAGTACATATATTTATATTTTACTCCATTGCAGAGATAAATGAAACTCACCAAATTTTAATCTCAAGTATTCATGTGGATCAGTCTCCCACAGCTCTTGATCAGCATCGGTAAAAGACATAATTGGAAATATTACATCTTGTACTATAGCGACCATGTGAGGTTTTATTAATTTCCAGGAATATGAGTGACTCACACTGTTGAACATTTTAAAACATATT